GCGAAGCGGGAGTTAAGCGGCAACTGGTGAGTGCGGCTTTTCGCCGGGGCTGCTCGGAGAAACCCCTGCCCGCCGGCCTCCCGCTGCGCGATGTTCTGCACCTTTCGTGGCTTTCCTGGTGTTTCTCACCTATAACAAAGTCCCGGAGCCGGGCAGGAACCGAAAGATGGCTTGGGGGCTTTGTCACGGGGCGCTGCCAGCTTTGCTGGGTTTCTCTGGTTGGAGGCCAAGAGATGAAATCCGTTCAACCGCTTCGCTTTTTTGCAGCTTGGTTGGCCTTCTTCCGGAACTAATCGATATCTTGGTGGATGTGAACATTACGGCAAACATCAAATGCACGAATTTTCCGCTTCGCTTTTTGCAGCTTGGTTGGCCTTCTTCCGGAACTAATCGATATCTTGGTGGATGTGAACATTACGGCAAACATCAAATGCACGAATTTTGAATCGGGCACGGTCCAGGTCGTCATCGAAGACTGCCTCTGCATTCTTGGGGCCGTAAAGATCAAGCTCCTTTCTGGGTAAGTGCCTGTGGATTTATGTTTTCCGTTGCCTGTAATCCTCCTCGCTTTATCCGCTGATCTAGACAGGCTGCCAGGACACAGACGGTGCTGAGCTGATACAGAGCCAGGCCTCGGGGAAGTAATTTCTTCCCGATTGCCAAAGCCGGTTGCTTCAGTGGAGCTGGCAAAAAAAGCGGTCGTTGGGAGATGGGGGTTAATTTGCCCTCCTTGCCCCTGGGAATTCTGAGATCTGAAGCACGAGGCGCGGTACCTCTTCCAGCACGCTTCTGCTGGCAAACGGGTATCCAAGGGGTAGGAATGATCCGGCAGGGAGTGTCCTGGGAAAAGAGCCCCATCGCCCGCCCCGGGTTTGTGCTCTGCCCGTGGCTGCTGTCGCGGGAAGGCGCTGGGCACGTGGGCTTCGCTCTGACCGCCGGGCTGGGCGTAACTCCACGCACGTCTCCCGCCTCTCGCCCAGCTGCATTAAATTCTTGGCAGGAAGAATTTGCTGATTTTATGTGTTGGTGAACGCAACAGCAAATTGATCCTGGGGAATGTATTTTCTTTTATTGCTTTTGAATTACTCACTTTTCGGGTTCATTGAATTTCTCCTAATTAATTTTTGCATTATGCATTATATTTCAATCAGTGCAGCAGCTGCTCTGGAAGAGGCTGCAGGAGCAAACAGGGGCGCATGGCTCCCCCGCCCCGGGGGCTGTAGGTTGAGTTTTGGCAGGGCTGGAGTGGCAGTGCGCAGGATGGGAGCCCCC